TTATTCTTATCCCCATCTCCATCCTTATTCTCATTCTTATCCCTATCCTTATCCCTATTTCTATCCTCATCCTCATCCCCATCCCCACCCTCATCCTCACCCTCATCCTCATCCTCACTCCCAACCACAACCCCAATCACCACCCCAATCACCACCCCTACCCCCTCCACATAATCCTCCTCAATCTCTCTCTATCCTCCTCCCCCCCAAAAATCGTCTCAATCCCACTTCTCGCCAGCTTACAAATCGCATTTCTGTCAAGATGGAAATGTTTCGCTACAAGTGCATATTCATCTGAAAGTTTACTTCCAAAGACTCCCACGTCGTCGGTCTGCGAGATTGGTTGCTCGTTAGTAGGTAGTTTTCCATAGAAAATAGAAACTTTTCTTCGAGGTTTCTAATACCATATTTCCCACCCCATCCATCCCATCCCATACTACTTAGTCCAGCTCTCTACGCCTCCTTCGTCCTAGAAACGGTCGGATGAAGTAAAACGAAATGAAATAATCAAAAGAGAAATCTGAAGAAGAAAGTAAAGGAAAACTAGACACATACACACAAAATCACTTTCGTGCCTCTCGCCCACCACTCCCCAAAATGATGATCTTCATACGTGCCTACGATCATTTTCGCATGAACATTACAACTCAAGCAGAGTTCCAATCCTACTCCCATCTTCTCGATTTCCGGTTTGAGATTTTCGGGTACGTGGATTACATGTCCTATTCTATGCGGTTGATACGACAGAAGTGTTTTGAGTTCCATGCTAGTAGGCGCTTGTGCCACTTCTGCGAAATGGATTGTGATTTTGAGGCTGTATTTTTGAGCTTGGAGGAAAGCGCGTTCGAAGATAGATACATCGCCTACAGATGGGTCGCCACAGAGATCGATTCCTACGACTCCTTTGTCGTGGTATTTGTATGCTAGTTCCACGACATCCACAGCTGTTTGAGCATCATTTCGGCGGTCGATAGAGAGGATCAGGTTTGTTTTCATGGAACCGTTGGAGTTGTTGTGTTGGGCGATGCAGTCGAGGATTGTTTGGACGTAGATTTCTTTGGTGATACCTGCGGAAGGGATGGCTCGAGGTGTGGTACGGAGTTCAAGATAGATGACGCCATCTGCTTGAAAATCTGAAAGAACGGAGTTCGTGGTATAGATCAAGGAGGCAAGGTCGTTGACGAGAGCGTAAATATATTTGGAGAATAATGGAAAGAATCTAGAAAGACATGAAATGAGATATGGAAGGGTTGCACGAGGTTAAAAGTGAAGTATCCATGGTTCGAATCAATAAATTGAATCCAATCTTCTGGTGCTTGAATAGCTTGTAGTGCTTGAAAAGCCAGAAATTCTCAAGAACGGTTTTGATGAGGCAAGTGGATTCAACACTTCGAATAATTTCAACACCTCGGAGAATTTGAACCTTCAGTCAAACGCAGGACAATTGAAAAGAATCACGGCTAAATAGCAATCCGGAATATCGTCAACCTGTAAGGCTACTATGGCCTGCATTTACGGTGTCCACAAATTCTTGAATGCTCCTAAAAGCAGTGGTTTGTTTGTCCCAGTATGCTCGGGGCGGAAAGTAGTAAATAGAATAGAAAAACAACTCACGTCTCAAGATCATAATCAAATTTATCAACTGGCATCTCAACCAATGGATCTTGCATTGTAGTCTCACCCTTTTCCCATTTCTGAAGCCATACTTCATGAAGACATTGTCGACTGATACTTCCACTTAGATGAGCATGTAACTATGTAAGAAGTATCTTTCAGCCTTATGTCAATCTGATTCATGCAGCCGTTAGGGTACCAAAATCCGGTGGGATTTGACGGACATTAAATCACATGTACGAAGTATGTACAGTATGAATATGCATGTAACCTTTAAGACTTACCTCAATTTTTGGCAAGGATGTGAAATCAATAACTTCCGAGCTTGATGAATCCATTGCGCGAGAGTGGCTCCTTGATAATCTGTCTCGAATGGATGAAGAAGATGAAACTGCTGCGTACTGCGTAGAGTTACAATCTAGTTTTGACTTTTGTCGATATAGTGTTTGTGTTGTCCTGGTCCTACGGATGTTTGTTTCCCTGAATCTGGAAGAGTTGATTGCTGCATGCACTTTTCTCATGCAGCAATAATTTAATGGTGCTAACCTTGAAAGTGGTAGGATTCCTTGATGACCAATTTTATTTCTGACGAATCAAATTCCATCAATGACTGTCAAACTTAACTTCGGGAGATCTTCCAATCTGAGAATCGGTAGATACTGAATTTGTGCGTATAAACTCCCCACTCCACTTTGCATAACGGGAAAGTACTCCAAATGGATATCGTGAAAGAATTGTGGACTGGCTATTCGCCCAATAGGAAGGATAGAAAATGTTTCATCCGTTCTTTTAAGAATAATTCCTGGTAGAAGCTCAAGCAAAGATGCAATTAAAGATACCTACCTATACCTGCTGGCCCAGTGCTAGGTAGTCCGTACATTGTAGAAACCAAGAGCGGCGATGACCACTTGCCTGCTGCATAGAGCTTGCAAGTTACAACTGCCAGAGCTCGATAGAGCTTGATTAATCTTCAATAACCGGGTCTCGAAATGATCTTGGGCCTTGAGGTCGTCGTGGTCCCCGTGCAGTGTCGCGGCAGATGAAGGGGTAACAGACTCAATTGCGCGATATCGTACCATTAAATTTGATGTCCAGATGGGAAAAATGGATAGATGGATACGATGATAAAGAGAAATAGAATGGATCAGATTACCGGAAAGTCTTTCCTGTTCTTGCGCCAAACAAAAAGGGACTCCTTATATGTTTCGACGGGATCTGTGGGATTCCCGAGAACGCTTAAGAGTTCCCAAACGATGATTTGATTACCTATCGATAATCATTTGCAGAGAAGTAGGGTGGGTATATTATGAAAGACGGAGTAGAACCTGCCTCAGCCTGCCATCCCAATCCCCGTCGATCCCAATAGTAAAATACCCGACCCTGATTCTTCTGATGCTTGACCCAATTTGAAATCAAGTCCCCGATATTTATCCCGGTCGAAATTTAAAGAAACGGGAACCAAAGGGATTCCCCACGGCGTAGGTAGGTACTAGGTAGTACTTGGTACGGAGCAGTTGGGAGTCGGTACGCAATCGAGAGCCAAGTTTGCGGACTAATTGGTAAAACAAGTGACCCGTTACCCATCGTTGAAATCAATATATCAATATATCGATATATATCGATGCAATTGAAAGAAGAAGAAAAGAAGGAAACAATAATATGGGATGGGGTAGTAGATATGACAAATGATGCATCTTCATGTGCGCTCTCAATCTCATAGGCCAACCTTTCGGATTGATTGACAGCAGGCTAAGCAAATTGGAGACCGAATAGATAATTGGATATGTACATACTACATACGACTAGAAGCAATTTACCATTTGGTGCCCTGCTGATCAATATGCATCTGTAATGGAAAGAAAAAGTCCCACCGATAGAACCATGTTGCGACGTGCAGGATGCAAGCAAGATAATACCGTAAAGGGCTTTCAAAGTTGAGATCCTCTTTCTTCTGCCCCTTCTTCAACTTCTCTTTGCGTGGAATTGGACATTCTACATGATATAATCCAAGACCAAGAGGAGAAATGATATATACTTCTCTTTCTTGTGCTTGCGAGTTGAGAGTGATATTCATAAATGATATCAATATGAGATAGGCAGGTCGAGCGAGATGATGATAAGAAGTCAGGCGGTGGATCTTCCAAGTTCCAACTATTGTTTTATGGAATGCCGCTGCAAGCAGATAGGACGGTAGTGAAAGCAGGTACAAGTTACAAGTCAGTCCAAGCAATCGAGTGAGTGGTGTACAGTATCGGTACTCTGTAGTCTGTATCGTAGTCTGTACATATTTGAACAATCATGTTGGCAATAATACTTGCGCATCCTCCACCTTGATGCTGAAAGAAGGGGGAAAGCGCTCCGCTAGGGATAATTACCTACCTACCTAGTATTACCTACCTAGTATTACCAACCGACTTATTAATTGCCTACCTCGGCGTTCTTGTAGCTGATTTGGAAATTATATCATCCTTCATTCATTCACTCAATCCACTTTGTATCAACACACACTGACAGAGAGTGAATAATTATTAAGCAAAGAGATACCTAGGTATACTCGTATACTAGCTAGTCACTTTATTTAATTTCCCCATTCTCCTTTTCTTTTTTCATGTTACCCAATAGATAGTCGTGATATGCAGAATACCAATCGCGATGTATATAAAAATTCTCCTAGAGGAATCTGAGAGTCCGTAAATTGAATTGATATCCTTAAACAGTACATCCCTAGTAGGTAGGTAGCTTGCGATGGATTCGATCTACAGCCTTGATTGGTTTATTCTTCAGGAGAGAAAGAAGTTAATCGCCTTTGCTTTGATCTTGTGAAAGTTGAGGCTTGACCTGGCGAGCCTGGTTGCTTTTATCTTACTTTTCTTCACATAATTCATTAAACGGGGGAGGGGGGGGGGCTAATTTTCTATATTCACTGACCTGACAATCTCTGACAATCCATGGAATCACTGATAATCACTTGAGCGCCTCATTCATCCTCATACCTGTCTAGGTGCTTACCTACTACTTACCTAGGTCTCCTCTCGATTTTCCATCTACTGACTTGTGTACATACTACTCCTCTCCTATTCTTCTTTCTCCCCTACTATCACCAATAGTAATCAATTCCTCTCAGACTCTTCCTCTCTCTCTTTCCTCTCCCCCCTTCCTCGCCCGTTATTAAATTTGATTTCCACTAAACCCAAATCTTACCACTTCCCACCGGCTTCCTTCTCCCCTCTGATTTTAGCCCAGACCGAAAAGAGAGCTACAGCCCAGTAAAACTAGTCCCATCTCGGCCAATTAGCCGAGAAAAAGCAAGCAGCAACGCAAAATAACTGGGGGTTACTTGCACTGCACTACTGTACCTTCTAAATCAATCAATCATCCTTCTCCATTCCGTCAAGATTGCCTCTGCCTCAACTTTCTTCAACTCATCAGATCTGAGCGAAAGGAAACTCTTCCATACAAGCCTTGTTCCACAATTGAAGAAGGAGAAGACAGACTTGGTCTTCTTGTACTTTGATATACTTCATTTTAATCATTTCAACAAAGAAGAGAAAGATCTTTGCACTAATACCCGGCAATTGCCATAAACAATCACTCTCTCAAAACAGCACCATTCGATCTATACCATACTACACCACCAATCCAATCCAATCCAAATCAGCGAAAAGATTCCTCAATACCTCCGATAGCTGAATTGCTTACATTCAGCCAATTCCAAATCTCCGTCAACCAACACATTCGGGAAGAAGCTATCATCCACTTGGTCGCAACCCCCTACAGCCTCATCAACAATTGAAACAATAACGATAATTATCAAGCTGAGATTCAATTGAATTCATAACTCACCCATCCATCAATCCGACCGAGATGTCGTCAAACTCGAACGATGTATCGCCAGAGGCGATGCAGTCGCGTATTCAACAAGCCCGTCGTGAAGCAGAGTCATTAAAAGATAGGATAAAGCGCAAGAAGGATGATTTGGCAGATGCAACGCGTAAGTAACAATTGTCTTTCAGCTCTCACAACAATATCCAATTTCATCACCTTGGTGTTGTTGATCTCTGCGATTGCATACTAATTAATAATGTTACAGTGATGAACCTTGCGAGGGCTCAACAAGAAGCTTTACCAAAGAATCAAATGATGAAGACTCGAAAGACATTAAAAGGACATCTCGCAAAGATTTATGCAATGCACTGGTCAACTGATAGGAGACATTTGGTATCAGCATCGCAAGACGGTAAATTAATTATTTGGGATGCATACACAACCAACAAGGTCCATGCTATTCCTCTACGATCTTCGTGGGTCATGACCTGTGCCTATGCACCAAGTGGTAATTACGTCGCATGTGGTGGATTGGATAACATTTGTTCGATCTACAACCTAAACTCAAACCGTGACGGACCTACAAGAGTTGCTCGGGAACTTTCTGGACATTCCGGTTACCTTTCGTGTTGTCGATTCATCAATGACCGAAGTATCCTTACGTCTTCAGGAGACATGACTTGTATGAAGTGGGATGTCGAAACAGGATCAAAAGTTACCGAGTTCGCAGACCATTTGGGTGATGTTATGAGCATCAGTATTAATCCAACTAACCAAAATACATTTGTTTCAGGCGCTTGTGATGCCTTTGCGAAACTTTGGGACGTTCGTGCAGGCAAAGCTGTTCAAACTTTCGCAGGACATGAATCAGACATCAACGCCATTCAATTCTTCCCAGATGGACATTCCTTCGTCACCGGTTCCGATGATGCTACCTGCAGACTTTTTGATATCCGTGCTGATAGAGAGCTTAATCAATATGAGTACGTTTTCACCTTCTAGATTTCCTGAACTTTTCACTAACAACATCTAGCATGAATCTATTCTCTGTGGTATCACATCTGTGGCCTGCTCTGTGTCTGGCAGACTTTTATTCGCTGGTTATGATGATTTGAGTGCAAGGTAAGCTATTATCAAGCTAACCATTGTCAAAAAGAAGTTTGATATTAACCTCTTGCCTAGGTATGGGATATCACTCGCGCCGAGAAGGTCGGATCATTGGTTGGACATGACAACCGTGTCAGTTGTCTGGGTGTTAGTAATGACGGGATGAGTTTGTGCACTGGATCATGGGATTCATTGGTAAGTTGCGATAGCTTTCTGTTCTTTTTCCCTTCCCATTATCTCAAACTAACTTTTCCATTTCTCCCTTCAGCTCAAACTCTGGTCCACATAACTTACACTATTTTACTCCCACTTCAGCTCAAGGTTTGGGCCATGTAGATCTGGTCTATTATTTCGACGATAACGAATTTTCGTCGCATGCGGTGTCATTCTTCATTTGGCAATCCCATTTTTACTTAATCGCCCTCCCAAATACGACTTCTTAATATTCATGGCTTTCGGCATAGATTGGTCGAAGTCTTTACAGCAGTATCCATCATACTTCAGCGACAGATGGCCCTTTCCGATCGATTACTTCCGATACAGTAAAATAGCGGGCCCAACCAGTTGCGCATATAAGATTCTGTGCACAATAATTCTTCATTTCGATGTTCTTGTTTCTATGGGAGGTCCTATTGCATTGCTTTTTCATCAGCGTTCTTAAGCACTGGGACTTTGCGACGATATCCTACAGAGACACTTGTTCTTTAACTTTACACTCTCAACACACGACATCTTCCAATTTTCTTCCGTGTCTTTTTCTTTTTTTTTTTAACTTTTATCAAGATCTCCGAGGGGCAGTTAAATGATTGCGGTGGGGGAACAGGAGGAGAATAAATACAGGGGGGGATGGGTGACGAATTGCGAAGTCGACAGAAAGTTTCTCACAACTATTTTGTGTGTGGTATCTGATAAACTGAGTTGGTATCTCGAAAGTGAACCTCCAGATCATACATTTGGTATATGCAATTGTTAAGTTGGTCAGGATGGAAGATGAAGAGAGGAGTTTCCAAGGGGGGACAGGACTCATAACTAGGCTCTGTAATGCATCGGCATGTGAAGTACCACTGCAGCATAAGTTTAACAATTATTGAATCTGGCGTCGGTTCCATACAAAGCTTGTATTATAGTCTAATAATGCCCTTGATAGATATGTCTTTTCTATTACTTTTTCTTTCTTCTCTTTGCATGGTGATGAAGTGTCTTTTATTTGCCGGGGCTTGGTGTAGGACTGGAGAATAGGAGTCTGGATGGAACCGAACTGACACTTGAAAGGGGAATTAGTTGAAGTGGTATTATGTTAATCGAGTCTTTGTTGGAAAAGTTTTTGTAGAATAGTAGGCTAGGTGAAGAATCGAATTGACTGAATTTAATTGGATTGAATCGATAAATAATGATGATTATTAGGAGAGTGTGTTGGGTGTGTTGGGTGTGCTGGGTGTGCTGATTTTCTTGAATTTTGTGATTTTGTGATTTTGCTTTTAGGTTTTGGGGAGAGGGGGTTGGGGGAGAGGGGGGAGGGGATATGGGGTTGGGTGATGTGGGAGAGAAGGGGAAGGGAGAGAAGAGGAAGGGAGGTATGAGTGGGGAGGGTTGTGTATGGGTTGATAGTTGATGAGCATTTTGAGAAGCTTGAAATTGCCTTTCTACTTTATTTTTTGTTGATTTTGGGGGGGAGTGGAGGAGGAAGGGCAGGAAAGGGTGGGAGAGAGGGTGGTAGAGAGGAAAGAGAGGGAGAGAGGAAGAGAGAGGAAGAGAGAGGAAGAGAGAGGAAGAGAGAGGAAGAGAGAGGAGAGAGAGGAAGAGAGAGGGGAGAGAGAGGAAGAGAGAGGAAAAGAGGAGAGGAGAGAGAGGAGGAAGAGAGAGGGGAGAGAGAGATGTAGATAGGTAGATGGATATGATGGATATGATGGTTGAGTGAGTGGTTATGTGTTTGTATTGCGGTTTTGGGTTTGTTTTTTTATTGAATGGAGAATGGAAAGTTGATTAAGGGGGGGGGGGTTGGTGATGGTGATGGTGATGGTGATGGTGAGATCTGAAGTGGATATTTGAAGTGGAGATTTGAAGTAGAGGGTTCCTTGTGTATGTCGAGTGATGAGTGAGTGATGGAGTGATGGGAGTGATGGGAGTACTATAGTGTAAATGTCGTGGGTAGGGAAGAAATAAGGAGGCTCGCTTAGAATTAAAATGCGGTTCTTGAGAAGGGGAATGAGAGGGTGATAGGTAAGGTAATTAAGCTAGTATGATATGGGTGGGAAGGTGGGAAGGTGGTAGTAGTGGTTGTTTGGGTTGAGATTCGGAGGGGTTTATGAAATTTATGGGGTTTTAGGGAGGGGCGGAAAGAGATGGGAGGAAAGGTTATGGAGATGGATAGGGAAAAGAGGAAGGGGAAGGGTGTGGGAATGGGGATGTGAAAGAGAGAGATATGAGTAGATGGATTGGTGAATGGATTTGCTGAATGAATGAAGTGGATTGGGAAGAAGAGGGGAGGGGGAGGATGGTTTACTCTTTTGGCGGATGAATGGGAGAGTGGATGGGGTTTTTAGAGAACGGCGAGGAGGGATGAGATCGGGTGGTTGGATGATTGGATTGGATTGGATTGGATTATGAGTATAGAATGGGATAAGTATATAGGATAGAATGAGTATATAGAGGATAGCGAGGGAAATGAGTAAATGTGGGAGAGGGTTTTGGAAGCTTTGAGAGCTTGATAACTTGAGTCTTATATGGAGGGCAGTATTGTGTATGTGAATGACTAGGGATGGGGATTGGGAATGAGGTGGAATATGAGGCGCAGTAGATAGACTAGATGTGTTGAATAACTGGAGAGGTAGTCATACCAGTTAGAGTAACATACAGAAGAAAAAGAGGGATGCGAGAGATTATCTTGGTTCACGAAATGTTGGATTTTGGATTCCGGATATCTTTATATTGTATTTGTTTTTATATTTATATTGAGATCTGAAAGATATAAAGGGGAAATAAATCCATAAATACACAGTATAACAGTAAGAGCAGAGAAGAAGAAAATGTATATCTAGTTTCGATGTATATGATGGATAACATATATATAAAGGATGGAAAAAACTCGGTATACTTTTTTGATGTTGTTACTATTTGGAGATTAAATGATGATAGATAAGATGCTAGAATTTTTGATATGAAGAACAGGATTCTAGAGATTGTAAAATGAGGAATGTATGTTTGGATTTGGATTTGGATTTAATCCGTAATTCGAGATGTTGAGGATTGGAGTTAGTAAAGGAGTTTGAAAATATAGAGATGTGATTTCAATTTCAATCTTTCGGTTTCGATGTCGTCTCTATGAATTGGATATCCTCATATGGGAATCATAAGAATTGATGGATGGGCTGAGTTTCGTAGGTGAGTGAGTCAGAGGGGAAGTATAGTTCTAGATGTATATACGATTCATGGTTATTGGTAATGAGTCGAAGAAATGGAAAGAAAATTGGATTTGTGTTTGAGCTTGTTTAGCTGGGGATTTGTCGAGTAAGTGTGTGATTTATGCAGGTGGAATGTGAAACTGGTGGTGTAGATTTAATATATGAGATGGATTGTATAGATGAGAGAAAGAGATGGTGATGTGGATGTGGATGGTTAGGATGATTGGAAAGAGAGAAAATGTAATGGATGCAGAGGAGAGTAGAGTTACTAGAGGGAATACTAGGTCGACATGACTGACAGCAGTGTAATCGGCAATGCCGAATCGATTATGCGCGCCAGAGGGCAATACCGATGGGCTGGGTAGGCTAAATGGAATTTATGGGGCGGCTTGGGTTGGTGTGTATGGAGTATGCGGCTAATAGTTAGGTTGGGGGGTTAGGTGAGATGGAGATGAGATTATGGCATTTTCCGAGAGTCGAATGTAGGGTTGGTTTTGGTAGATGGGTTTGAGGATTGCTTGTTTGAATCTATTCTGTGATGCATAGGAAAGGGGAATTGGAGGTGGACATCGCGGGAATGGGAACGGATGATGTGAGGGGAGGTGTGATGAGGTGTGATGTGATGTGATGAATGTTGTGTGCATGAGATCATAGCAATGGGCTTTGATGTTAATTGTGGATGTGGACATTGATATTGATGTACGGAGAACAAGTCCGAGAGTCTGGAGGCTGGTCTTGGAATTTACGAATATCATCATAGTTTGATGACGGGATCGCCGATGAGGGAGAATGGGATGAGATGAACGAATGTTGGAGGTTGGAGGTTGGATTGCGGCAAGAGCGGTGAGTTTGATGTATGTGTGTATGTGTATATGTGTGTGTGTGTGTGTATGTGTGTGTGTGTGCGTATGTGACGGAGGTCAGACCTGTCAAAGTTGCAAAGTATAATAGTTGAAGCCAGTCAAAGCTCGAACTTTGGTGGTTTCTGGAGACGGGATGTGCTAAAAGCCGACGCGACAGATGCATTGGGAAAACTACATTGGTGCTGTATCGTAGACTGACTTGTGGGTGATACAGTAGCTTGGGACTAAATGTTGTAGGCCCTAGTGTACGTCTGTTTTGCCATTCGGATATGGCGGTTGTTAGTTGGACTGTTGATTGTTACATGATATTCGAGATTCGAGGTTTGAGAAAGACGATACGGAAGTTGGAAAAGGATGATAATGATGATAATGATGATGATGATGTTGTGATTGTTAATGTGGATGCAGTGGATGATTATTAGGAATATTAAGGTCAGATCAGGTGTTGCGAATGAAGGTATCGACTCATGAAACGTCTGATTTTCTCAACAGTGTGGATCGTGACTGTGCAAGGGTTACAGCCATCAACCGTGAGAGATGGATGGGATGGGGACCCGACATGACTTTGTTTGTTGTTTCATTCAATATATTTCGTTGAGAAGGATTGATATGCTAGATGAATGTGTGCTTCCAGAAAGTCCAAGGAAGGTGGGAAGGTAGATTCATGCTGAGAAGGATTGGGATGCTAGACAAAGATTGACTTCCAGAAAACCCGAGGAAGTACGTTCATGCTTGGGTTGTTGGGTTGAGCTGGCTCGCTGGGTTGGTATATTGAGTTGCATATTCCCGTTTCCTCGATATTACTAGAAGCTCATGGCATTAAGACACAGAATCCTTGAGGATGTCTATTAATAGTTTATATACTCCTCGTCACTGTCTGTATGAGGGTATGGTGGCGGTAAGATAGGATTCGAAGCTCAAGGTTGTTATGATAGTATATGATCTTGGGTGTGACTACCTATCTATGCGAATATCTAGGTATGTCAACATCTATGGCGCCAATCCTATCTCCCGTCTACTTTCCCTTTGTTCCATGTCCATGAACAATGCAACAGAAGAAAAGACGACGGTATCAACCCAGTCGTGCCAGTCAACTAGGTCAGTCCACCAGTGGTCGAGAGACCTTGTCAATTGAATATCAAACCCCTGACCCACGTACACTCGTCGGGACACACCCAAGTGACCCAACCTAATAACTAGCAGCTGGTACTAGGGACGGACCTTGCTGTGCCTTATCCCAGCATTATCAAAGAAAATCTACTTCCACATTCGACCATCATGACCCTTAAAATTCATCGCAAAGACCGAAAAAGAAACCTGTGAGAAACAACGCAACAGCCATCATATGCCCTTTTCCTGCCATTCGATCAAATATAGTTCAATTACCTAGGTATTCATTTACGAAAAAGAGGCTGTGCTGAGAATGGAAGTAAGAAGAAGAAACGAAAATGGTCGAGTATATTGGATCCCGATGTCTAATAGGTATTTCTATAAAGGGCATCTAGAGTCTATTCTATCCCTCTTTCCCTCTTTTTGCCGTGCATCCTTCGAAACATCGTAAGCCAAAAAGTTTCCCCAAGCTAAGAAAAGCAGTGAGATCAGACTCAAACACAGACAACCATCGGAAGATACCACCACCAAAAAAAAGCATATTATCGTAAGATTATCTTTGAAACAATACCTTACATGATCTTCTCTGCCTGATGCAACCATTTTCGAATCTCAAGTCTCAGGTCTCAGTCATACTTTCCCCAGCCTTTCCCTACCGCGAGGCCCTTGCACAAGATTCTCTTACAAGCCAACCGCACCATCAAATTTCAGCTTAACCAAACCTACATCATCAGCGCCAAACAGGCGAGAAGGCAAAAAATAAAAAAAACATCTGTGTCTCCGAAAGCACGAGCTTGCCGTCTCATACCTGGGCTAGGAATTACTAGGGTCTACCCGCTTCTAGAAGTCTAATCCATACCAACGCCTTACCTTTCCACGCGATCCTTCTTGCACATCCTTCAAGCGCCCTAAGCATCCCCAAGCTTCTCACTTACTACAAGACCTCGTGGCTCCCTTGCTTCGATATAAATCTTTGAAAGATGGCTGGCAAAACGGCGGCGCAAGAAGAATTTGACAATATCATTGCAAAAGCTTCTGCAAACGAAAATCACGAACATCCGGACGACGAAAAGGATTATAGCTTTGATAGGAACAGTGACGTGGACGAAGAAGAGGAACATCACAATCGCAACATAGAAGATACAATGAAGATGCCTTTTTTTGACAGATCGAATTCGGGAGGATTGGGGGGGCTCAGTGAACCATTGAGGTTGCCGCATAGAGATTTTGATAGTGGGAGGACGACGGGGGTTAAGGGGGTGATTGCTGATGCGAGGAGTTATGAAGAGGCGAGGAAGACGGGGGGTTGGAGAAATAAGCTGAGGGGAAATACAATCACAAAGGAGGACAAGAGGGCAACCTTCACCAAGGATGGTTCGGGGAGTGAGGCGGGGCTGAGTGACGATGAAGAGTTCTTGGAGAGGTGGAGACAACAAAGACGAGTAGAGATGCAGAGTGAAGGGAAAGATATTAGAAATAGGAGGACGAGTCCTAGTGTGCGTCGTTATGGAAGATTTGATGAGGTAGATGCGCTTGGGTATCTCGACGCCATTGAAAAGGTCGGAAGAGAAACCGTCGTTGTCGTTTTCGTTATGATCCTGAGGTTTGTTCTCCCACGTCTTTAATCCCATCTCTACTTTCATACATATACTAACAATTTCATAGTGTGACGTCTCTCAAGTCATCAACTCAGCACTTCTCCCCCTTGTTGCCGCAAACCCAACAGTCCACTTCGTACGCGTCCATTACGAAGACATAGAATTCGATAATGCAGGTGTACCGGCTATACTGGCTTACAAAAATCAAGGAGATCTTTTTGCGAATTTGACATATATCATTGATCAGATTCCGGATGATACGATTTTCGATACGAAAGCTTTAAAGGATGTTTTGATTAGACATCAAGTTCTTTAAATGATTGGTTTCTGTTTCCATTCTGAGAAAGATGATTTGAGGATACTTCCTTTCTTGTACCTATTTATGGTGCCGAGAGGGATTATCTTTTGTTGTATTAGCATCACTAGCATACATGACATCGATTGTCACATCGCATCATTGCATTGCAAAAAGACATTCTTACATTCTATACACTATATATAGACGGACGTCGCGGGATTGATTCAAGAGGGTCAAATGACCTCGCTCTGAGAGCAGAGAAGAGATGAATACCTACACTGTATGAATAGGACGAGAACTCGGGTTAGGGAATCGGATGGATGGCGTTTGGATGAAATGAAGGAGTTACCTTACTCCTTCCTTTGTGTATTTGCTTTTATCTTTTGGAATATTGGGTTGAGCATGGGGTTTAGAGGTCTGGTTGATGGCTTTGGCGTAGTCACAATTCATGGAGCTTGCTAAGCTTGAGCTTGTCAGCTTGAACTCTTTTCTAATTTTTTTTCTCTTCAAATATACCTAGAAATGGTATGATTGATACTTCATGTTATATTTGTAGTTGTATTTACATTTATGGTGGAATATATATCTTTATAAATTCTATCTATTTTATTTACCTTTATCTTTACCTCTATCTCTGTCCCATATATATTTCAGCTTACACTGTCTGTACACATATTATATGTATTACTAGGACTCTACCTTCAATCCCCACTTTGGCTCTTCCTCTCTCTTTACCTTCCAGTTGCTTACAATACGATATGTTGATATTTATTTTTGTATACTCGAACCTATCTGTACACTGAGCCATGACATGGGAAAGAAGGAAAGTAGGTAGGTAGGTATTCTATGAACAGCTCCGCTTGCGAGCTTGGGGAGGAGGTGGATTATTCGTGGATTAAAGTAAATGGAATGGCTTAATGAAATGTACTAGGTATCTAGGTGTGTTCAATCGAGGAGTAATTGTTGTAGAGAAGGGGAAGGGGAAAGGGGAAGGGGAAGGAGAAGGGGAAGGAGGGATTCTGGTGTTTGAAGATTTTTAAGATGTGAGTGATGTGGGTGGGGGGAAGTGCGGTTTTGGGGGGTTTGGGTGGGAATGTATGAATGCATGGATGCATGATTGAATGAGATGGGATTTGGGATTTGGAATTGGAGAGTAGGAAAGGAAAGGAAAGCAAAGGATGGGATGGGATGGGATGATATAGAATCAGATACAGATATAAGTAATAAAATACCTACCTACCTAGCTACTAAACAGTACAGTACCTAACCCAGTAACTAACTAACCAGTGTGCTCCAATACATTCATATGGTATATCAAATTAAATATTTGTGGAAATGCCAAGAATCAAAATCGCTTCCTTAGCTCAGTGGTAGAGCGGACGATTGCAGTGATGTTTCTTACGTCTTGCTATTATCGTCAGGTCAGTCGTTCGAACCGGCTAGGGAGCTTGGATTGCTCTGTGGTTTGGGTTTTTGTGGTTTTTTTTTGTGGTGGTGGGATTTAAGGGGGGGAGGGACTGTGGTGTTGTTTGGATAGGATTGGGGGTTTTGTTTTTGTTTTCGTTTCTGTTTCTGTGTTTTTGTGTTTGTTTATTAGTGGAGAGGTGAGGTGAGAGGAAAGGGATGGCGAGATGGAAATGTAATGGAGATGATAGAGTGACGGGATAAGGAATATTAATATATGAATGTATAACGTGGTTTATCATCGAGTGGGCCATATCATCGAGTGGGCCATCATTTTTACATACAAAATTCGTCTGTGCGTAACCGTGCACTTTCTTTATTTATTGATAAAATTTTCTAAAAATTAAAACTATAAATTTTAATTATATAAAATAATATGAAAATCTAATTATTTATTGAAAATTCAAATTATTATAATAGTTATTATAGAAATATTTCTTTTGTAACGAAAATCGTGACAAATTTCATTTTTTTTTTCAAATATAAAAGAAATTTTTATATCAAAACTAGATTTATAAAGAGCTAAATTTTCATTATTATTTTATATTTATTTTTTTCTAAAAATAATGATTGATTATTAAAATAAAAATATTAAAAAAGCATTAATTTTGGTTGTATTTTGGAGTGGCCCACTCGATGATATGGCCCACTCGATGATAAACCACGTTAATAGTAGTAAGTATATTTATCTGAATATGTTTACTTATCTAGATAATAAGTTAGATAGACAGCTCAGCATATAATAATATAGAAAAATATCTATATACAAAATAAAAAATCAACGCATGTCTTCTTAATGAATACTTCTAATTAATTTAGTAGATAGTAGATAGATATGTATAACTTTGTTATTTATCTATAGTAAGTATAGAAAATTTATTAATATGAGAGGGAGTAATCGGAGTTGTAGGTTTATATATAGAGAGGGAGAGTGAGTCTATTATTTTTATTTTTATTTTTATTATTCTTGTGCTAGCGGCGCGGAATATTTATTTTTTTGACAAAGGGCGGGACGCTTGTTTTTAGTGTGAGAGTGTCTGGGTCTGGGTATTGTGGGGTTTGATGTTGGGTTAAGCGAGAGGGGGGTTGATAAACTCGGATTGGGGCTTTATTACTCTACTTACTTACTTACCTCACATGCAAAACTGGTGAAGGCGATCTTGCGGATTTTTCTAAATTTATGTCTTGTGGAATGCTGGTATTAATCTTGAAGTAATGAATACTGATGTAAGTGCATCTCATCTAGTGTTTGAATTAACTGATATATATTACAATCTCAGTCGTGCCTCTGGATCTTCTTCCCGTGTCAAAAATATGAAATATCGAAATATCGAATAAAATTAAATGAAGACAAAGACGAAGACGAAGGAGAGATATAGATATGAAGTGATTCATCAGTCAGAGAATTGTTAATTATCCTGTAAGCTAGCTGGCATTCATCATTTCTGTATTTAAGTTCCTATCTCGATCTTATCTCTCTTGATTTTTTTCACGAAGCTCGCGAACGAGAATATTTCGAGGCGGGTTTGGTGGTTCTGGGTTTTGTTGTGAGTTTGGGGATTGTAGGGGTTTATGTAGTAATACTGGTTGATGGATTTATGTTGCTATTACTTGCTGAGAAGTCGTAGTCACGGAATGATTGGAAACGCGATGAAATGATCTCATTCATGAGAAATCAGAGCGGGGATATCGAGATATGGATCTTGGATCTTTGTAGGAAAATTGGGAGGGTTGAGACTCGATAGTATTCGCTGGTGGGATATGAAGTTGTAGATGAGGGTGAGGATGATGATGTGTAATTTCCATTTGAGAAGTGACATTGGGAATGATGATGATGATGATGAAATTCATGAAGGTTCATGATCTGCAAGCATCGAAAGCTTTCCTCTTCAACTCTTGACAACAATATCTCTGCAGCATCCCATCCTATCTTATCCTACTGTCACCACAGTCCACCTCAAACAATATATATATATTGTTCTCACTCCATCTCCAATTCCTCAATCCAAGACGCACGAGTCACACTCTTTCTCAAGATGCTTAAAAGCATCTCCCAACCCTCTACTGATCATTCAACATCATTTCCCATGGTGTTTCCACATCATCTTCTGTGAATCATGTACAAACAATCTCTCACAAATTTCTCACAACAAATCAGAATCAGAAACAACACAAGACACAAGACACACCACACCACACCATCCCCAGATCCAGCACCAACATATCCCAGAAAACATACCTCTCCCCATCCTATCTAAAGAAATTTCGCCTACCCACCTATGCAGGAATACTATAGTTCTCTGATAATAAACTAAGGTTGCATCCCAAAAATCAAACCGCATATCGCATCTCACCACCAATTACAATAGCAAACACATCAAGAGAGAAACAGATAAGGTTAAACAGAGATACTACGAAATCATCAAAGTAGGAAGAACGTTATAACCTAGAGCTTACTTTAGATTGAGATTTGTAAAAAATCTGAAAAAAAATCTGAGGAGGAATAGTATACAGTGTAGTTTGTAACACTCACTTTATGAAGCTTACAATTTGGAGAAACTCACATCTTGTACTTTTGAGGAGTGGTTTTTGATGTGGACTATTTATATGTATTTTTTTAAGATAATAGGTAACGTGGTGTTATTCTTTTCCTTACACACTTTTCAAATTGGTGTGATTGAGGGTAATTTTTTACTAGAGCGTCTTTTACTGTGAATAGTGTACGTATAGAATAAAGGACGGGGAGTTAGCGCGATACTTTTGTAGATGAAGTAGAGTTAAGATCCTTACTCCATTCGATCATCAAGCTAAGCTAAGCTAAGGTTCCTCGTTCCTAGTTCCTCCAAGCGAGAAAGCTATCAGTACCTACATATATACTACAAATTATCAAGCTAAGATTCTTTTCAATCTATTCATATATCATATATCAATCTAAGATTTCTAGCCCACCAAACCCTAACCTAACACCATTTCACAACCTCAACTCGCGAACTTTACCCCTTCCCCCCTCTCATATTTCGACTCCGCAGACGAGTAATATACTCATACTCAAAGACCTCATAGTCAACAGCGATATCAATATCAATATCAATATCATCTCTAGAGTCTAAACACTCAGCCAATTTCACACCTGAACAGATCGTGAATGAGAAGAAGAGGAATAGATATGTGAGTACGTACGTAAACAAAGTTATTAATTATCCTGGAGAATTATCATTTCATTTCATTTCCCACGCGGCATGAGGTTGTGGTGCTTGCTGAGAATAGATTATTATGAGTATAAAAGTTAGATGGTTGGGTATAGGATTCATGCATACAGTGGCTGAGATCGTGTTGGAAGGAGTGTATATTGAGGATCTAGCTTAGCATCTGGTGGAAGTAGTTAATCCTGAAGATGTGAGGAGAGTATTTGATGTGTTGCTGGGTATATGAGCTTGAGAAATCTAGAAGACATCACGTCTACAAGATCTCGGGATGGAATATTTATTGGCAAGCGAGGTATGGGTGGAGATTAAAAAGGAATTTGGTATTGATATTTCGCCAGATATTTTCAATTAGTTTACGAAGATTATTTTGTTGTTAGATTATATGCATAAAGTATTAAGTAGGAATAATCGCGAGTCTTCAGCAAATGACATGAGTTATTTTTCCGCCGAATCTAAGGAATTTCCAACAATAATTCCAGATGGTAAAGCACTATTTTCAAAAATTCAAATCCCAAACTGTACCTGCTCATGGAAGCTACGCAGAGCGTCTGGAAAAATCGCTTTCGGAGCACTTACTTCTCCCAGAATTCGTACCTTGGTGTCCAAGTGCTAACGGGGAAGGAATCGACTTTTTGATTGATATGGAGGTACACTCCGACATCAAGAACGAATTAGTGTTTCTGTAAACTTCAGCCACGCGAAGCTAACTTTCGGAAAATTGTTGGAAAGGGGATCAAACCAAGAACTGCAAAAGAGTTTATTTCATGATTTCAGTGAGAACTGCTATGAATTCCACAGATTGAAAAAACTCCCCAAATTCACAACAAGGTTCTCTTCAGGAGGTAAAAGGTTGGCAAGATAATATTTTCTCCACGATATTTTGAGGTCCTTTGCAAAAGTGGAGAATGATTGTGCGCGGTGTGCAAGTTTGGAAAAGCAAACTAGGTTTTATTCTCAAATGTATCCACGGAAATCCCACTCCATGACTACTTACATGGTTGAGGCCTTCGAGAAATTGGGCTGTTTGCT